ATATATATATATATATATATATATATATATATATATATATATGCTTTTGTTTTTGGACGACAGGGACAATAATGTCCCAACAGTAAGGAGGAGCATACCATTTACGATAGTTCGGATATATATTTGTCCTTTTTCCCATTAAAAGAAATTGTTTTGATTAAAATACTTGACTCAAAATCCTATTTTAGAGTTTTAAAAAATGAAAAATATAGGCAATTCTTTCTATTTTTGCTGGACAGAACTACCTGATATCTATTGCTAATCATAAAAATTAATCAAAGTGGACGAAAACTTAATCCAACACTACGATAATAAAAAATAAAACACAATAACAATATAATCCTACAAATAAAAACTTTTAAAAAAAATGACCCATACCCTAACCTTATTCATACTTTATAAAATCAAAAAATTATTTCAAATAAATCCTCGACTCAAAATTTCGTCCTATCAACTTGACCAGGCGGGAAGAATGAGTCATAAAGCTTAAGTCTTTAACTTATTGGAACCAAAAAGTTTCATAATATATTTTCTCTGTGAGAGCAATTTTTTTTTAAATATAGAATCCACTGAAGAGACGGAACATAGCAATAAATTTTTCTATATATGTGTGGAAGGTTTTTCAATTTCATCGAGGAAAATCTTTGGAATTTAACAAGCTTGACCTAAATCGCCTCTTTCAATTCTCTGGAAAATCGATCCATGGAGACTCATAAACAAGTAGCAGCATACGTTTCTGAGAATTCCAAGTAAATAGCACAAACCCAGTTGATCATTTTCTTTTCTTGTTTTTATTTGTTCACAGAGTTTTTTTTTTTTGGGGATTGTATTGATTTTCAAATGGAAGTGTGAAAAAGATTGCTTTTTTGATGATGGGGTGTGTTGGGTGTTCGTAGAATTAGTTGAGTTGATAGTGGAAGTATCTTTTTTTTGATTTTTGATTGTATTGATTTTCAGATGGAAGTGTGAAAAAGATTACTTTTTTGATGATGGGGTGTGTTGGATTGTGAAAAAAGAGAAAAAAAGAGATGACCCAGTTGATGATTTTCTCTGTTTTTAGGGGAAAAAAAAGAGAATTATAACGAGAGTGTGTGGGTTTATGCACTTTTGATATGTCATTATGGTGTTCCTAAGGTTGATGATTGTATTGTTTTATTGTGAAAAGGAAAAAGAACTCTTTTAAGTATAATTGGGGTAGTGTTTGTTGATATGATGGTGTTGGAAAAGAATGTCCAAGTATTTGGGGAAGCTGAGGGTTGTTTCTATACCTCCACGAGGTAGAAGTAAGGTTTGTGTATATCGATATAAACTGGGTATGTTGTTGTTGTACATGTTTTGGGGGTCTATGATTTTGATGTGATTGAATTCAAAGTACATAATTGATGATCTTTTTGGTATCTATTAAGTGTTTATGTGTGTGTGATATTGATGGTATATTGTTACAAGTTAAAAACAGACTCAGTTGATCATTTCTTGTTTTTTTTCTATTATTTAAGCATTGATTTGTGATGGTACTATTGATTCACAGGAAAAGAGTGTTTCCAGGTGGAAGTGCAATTGATGTTGAGGTAGTGGAAATTTCGCGACCTACCAATTGGAGTTCGAAATCAAAAACTCCTAAGCAGCATAAGAAGGTATAAAATTATGTACTGTGTACCAGGATTCAGTCTTTTTGCATTTTCTTTTGTTTCTGAATTGATTGATTACCTTTAGCTTGCGCACTTTCAGCTATAATATATGTTAATGACCTCTTTGAATCATCTTGCTGATACACATTTTACCCCCAATGTACAGTTTACTATTTTTTCTTGGCTTATTTGGTTTGAATTTGCATTTTCAGAACTTTTGGCTTTGCATAGAGTTTATGTTTCTTTTTTATTAGGAATAGTCAAATGAAGTGTGTTAAGCTTCATGTCATTTTATCTCCCACTGTCCCTCCGAAGAAATCAAAGATTTTCTGGAAGAAACTCTATGCCAGTCCAACTTCTGTATGACCCTCTTGATGTTTAATTTTTTCACTTATTTTCATCAATGTTCAAGACTCTAGTTTGCGCCAGTGAACATGTTTGAGTATGTAGTACTATCCATTGTGTATAAAGCGGGTTGAGAATCATGAGGTCTGCATTTACTTACCCTGTCCTCAACATGCCCTTGTACTATTTTTCAAATATTTTCTTTGTAAAAGTTAATATGAACTTGTCTACAAATCAGTTGGTGTTGACATAATCCTCTTAACACATATGCAACATATTACATTCAGCTGGATTTCGCTCTCCTTTATGTGAGCAAAAGGTAGATATATCTGGATATATTTTCTTCCTTTCAACTGAATAGACGTTTATTTTTCCTACGGTAGAAATCTTTCGCCATGTATGAGAGTGCCTCTTCAGGAAAATAGAAAATTGAGGAAGGACTAGAGTCCTTCAGATTAGCTAACCTCTTTTGACATCTTTCTGTTTTTTGATTGTGTGTATGTATGCCTTTTAGTCCAAATTTGCAGGAGATTCTGTTGGAAGCTTGGTTTTATTGACAAGACAAGCATTGTTGTTTTGACTTGATTCTCATTCCTTGTGACATTATTGTTGGCCCTGATACTATGCTGATGTATTCTTTGTAGGTTAGTTTCCATGAAATAATAGATGTTGACGTGGAAGAAAATTTAAGTGATGTTAAGCGCTCTTCTGGAAATGTAAAATTTAGTGGCAAGGGGAAGGTAATCAGAGATTGCCAATGCGCTCTTGTCAAAATTCTGGTTCTTTTCTTGTCAGTCTTCTATGCTGTCCTTTTTTGGAGGTCTAATTTTGTCAATCCCATCTGTTGCAGGATATTTTGGTTGGTAATGGTAGCTCGGGTAATAGTGGACCAGTAGATGCGGTTCAGTCTTCAAAGAAGAACTGCTTTTCGTCATCAATAAAAAAGAAGAATTGTCTTTCAGCATCTAATAGTCCAATTATTATAGATGAGTTTGGTTCTGATGTACTTTTCGGAGCTGATGAGCACATGGACATGTATTATGATGATTTAGTGTATTCCGACTATGCTGTTTTACAAGCACATTTTGATAACATGGACATTCCCCCTGGAGTTGAGGCTCCAATCCCATGGATGCCTGGTCCCATGGAAGAACAAATGGTGTCAACCACTACAAGTACTTCAGGAAGAGATGTCCCTGGGGCAGTAAGGAATCAATCCGCTTCATTTAGCAGCTCTACTCTCGTTGGTCAGCCTACGCAGTTTGGGTCGTCTTGGTCATCCCCAGGACCTGCTTTAGGCAAGGAGGGACAATTAGTCATTGGAAATTCAAATGAGAAGAGTTCTAAGGGAGTAAGTAATTCAAAGAAAATCCATTCATCCGGTGGTACAGCCTCTTTTGATTGGAATAACCCATATAACATGTATGAAGGGTCATCATCTCATTATGGAAAGAAATTACGTTCATCCGGTGCTACAACCTCTTATGGTTCGGGCAACCAAACTACTCCTATTGGGCCTTATTTCCCAAATTCCGTGGGAGGTCCAGTGTCTGATATGAAGAATTTATTTCTTAATCCAACCACTCCAATTGCAGCAGGAATTACTCATGCATCACCTGCTATGATGAATTATTTCCCTCTGAGTTTGCATAAAGGGGCAACAACTGCAGGATGTCCTTCAATTCCTTCAGGACCGGCTTGTAATGGAGAGCAACATAGAAATGTAGATGAAATTCTGAAGAATTTCCAAGCTTTCAAAAAATTTGATACTGTTGAGGATCATTCGGACCATTTCTATTCTCGACAGGCTTCTTCAGGGAACCTGGTTAGTTTATCCCAATTAAAATATTTCACATAACTTAACTAGTTTTGGCTTCATTATCTTATGATATATCTAATTCTATTGCAGCCTTCTAAGAACTGGGCCAAGAAAATACAGGAGGAATGGAAGATACTGGAGAACGATCTGCCTGGTATACAAGCAAAGTTTCACATGATGTGTTGTGATTTTCTTTTTTTGCATTGAGTCCTTGAAATTTAATATACAAAAGCCTAGAAATTCTGTTTAGTCAGGGAATTCTGAATATCTCAGCCTTTCATTTCTATCTACCAAGGCTAGGATAGATGGGAAGAAATCACCTAGTGTTTATTTGTATCCGTGGGGATTTGATCCTGAGACCTCATGGCTGTCATCCCACTTCATTGACCACTTGGCTACACCCTTGGGTGCAGCCTTGCATTAGTTATAACACGTGTTTTTTGCAATTTGTTAATCATGCACTCATCTTGTCGTCTTTTATTGAGCAGATACGATATTTGTCAGGGTGTACGAATCAAGAATGGATCTGTTAAGAGCAGTTATCATGGGTGCTGATGGAACTCCATATCATGATGGCCTTTACTTCTTTGATGTTTTCTTTCCAAGCAACTATCCCAATGTTCCCCCGGTATGTGTCTCGCTTTGTCTCTGAGGACTGTACTGCTTTATACTTTCGAACTTTAGCCTAACACCTCCATACCTATCGTTTCCAGCTTGTGCACTACCATTCCTTTGGCCTTCGGATCAATCCTAATTTGTATAACTGTGGAAAAGTCTGCCTGAGTCTACTTAACACTTGGACTGGCCAAGGGAAGGAGAAATGGATCCCTCGTGCATCTACTATGTTACAAGTCTTGGTGTCCATACAGGGGCTAATTTTAAATGCAAAACCCTATTTTAATGAGCCTGGTTATGCAAACACAGGCGGGACAGCCAGAGGGGATCAAAGCTCACTGCAGTACAATGAGAACACTTACATTTTAAATCTGAAAACAATGGTCTTCTCCATGAGACGTCCACCAAAGGTATCCATATTTTCTTTTATTCTCTGCCTGCTGTGATCGTTGTCAATGGTTCTTAGCCATTTATTACCAAAATAGGTTCTATTGTTATGCTTCATGACTATTTCTTGACTTCATTCACACCTGTGGTTCTAAATCAACTACTAATACCAAATGCGGTTCTTGCTGCAGTATTTTGAAGATTTTGTATTAGGGCATTTCTTTCGAAGTGCACAAGATATTCTTGTTGCATGTAAAGCATACACAGATGGTGCTCAAGTAGGTAGCCTTGTCCGGGGTGGTGTTCAGGATGTCGATGAGGGCGATAAAAGCTGCTCACCAACTTTCAAGGCTTCTTTGGCCGGATTCATCAAGACAGTTATAGATACATTTAAGGAGATTGGCGTAAAGGATTGCGACAAATTTCTTCACTTGACACAGAATGGGACTGAGTAGCACCAGTTGTTCCTGCAAACGCCGCGAATTATTTCTTCAGTTGAGACCATGCTGACATTGGATTTGAACAATAGGTGAATTGAGACTAATGTTGCCCAAATAGTTCAACTTTTAATTGGGTAAAATATACTAGTACATTATTAGCTTCATATTAGTGCTTTTAATAGCTTTTGTTCAGTTTCCTTAACTGTTTTTATGAGTTCATAAACAGCAAAAGTAGAGCTCATAGATTTTGATGAATGACTTGTTTATCATCTGTATAGATACATCTACTACAATTTATATAGGCTTTATTATACTTCCTCTCTCTTTCTCTTTGCATAATGATCATTAACTGACTCGATTAATTCAGGTTTGCATTAAGTCAGGTCTATTTAAGGCGGAAAACTCTTTTTATACAAATAGGGACCGCTTCCGCTCATTGCTAGAGGTGTCTAACTCATAAACGAGTTAAAGTAAACCGAGTTATTAATCAAGGTCGAGTGTTTTAAGATGAACTAAATTGGACAAATTATATTTTTATAAGTTAATTTTATGGAAAAATTACACGGTTGAGCAAACTTATACTAATTACTCATCGTAGCTATAGTTTGCTATAATTACCACTCACGACTAACATTATACATTAATTATGTGGGTTGATTTCGAGTTTGTATAATAAGTCACATTTGTATATGTATACTTCGCCAGAATATTCAATTATTTAATCAATGTACATATATAATTCATCTCTCTCGCTTGCCTCTCTCCTCCCTCTCTCAATCTCGCTCGCCTCTCTCCTTTCTCTCCCAATCTCGCTTGTTTTTATACAAAGGCATATGTATAATATACAATTATCTAACCAATATACCTATACTATTCACCTCTCTCCCACTCTTTGCCTCTCTCCTTTCTCTCTCAATCTCGCTCGTCTTTCTCCTCTCTCTCCCAATCTCGCTTGCCATATATACAAATACACATATATAATATACAATTATCTAATCAGTATACGTGAAAGTTCTCCGAATTTTATCACGAAGCAATTCAATTTAATTCCCAACTTGCCCAAATTTGTTTTGATAATATTTTTATTATCCTTTATCCAATGTGAATTAGAATTAATAAAAGGAAAAAAATAATAAAAAAATAGTAAAGCCCTAAACTAGTCCAAGTTAATTCCACGACCGTACTGTTGTGAGGAGACACATTGTGCGGATTTCAGTATCAATGGAAGTTGAGGGCATTTTGTACGAAACTCTCCGTCCACTCTCCGCCGCCGGCACCACCACAACCGCCACCGACGACATACCTCCGTCGTTGTCGTCCTCCGATGAGCATGAACCCTACGTCGTATTCCGGAACCAGATTTCACTATCCAATCTCCAGTGTCCCTCACCGGAAACTGCCGCGCCTGATTACTTTTCACTCGACCTCGATGGAGACGCTTCCGACTTGAATAACGGTTCCGTATCGACGCCGGTACCAGCTGCCACTCCTTTGCGGGATAAAGAAGTAGAGAGAGGACTTGAAGGCAATTGGTTTCGCGCTAATTGTCGGTTTAAGAGTCCCATGCTTCAGCTTCACCAAGGTAAAGCTATGTCGTTTTGGTTTTCATTGTTCTTCATGATGATTTATGATATTCTTCTTGTTAGAAGCAGCGCAACTAAATTTGCTCTGAACTTGCTCAGGCGGATCCGTTGCTCAATTTTTTAATATAATTATTAAATTATTCTGTGATAGTGATTTAGTGAACATAGTTATTATTGTATATGAACTTGAGATCCTTGTAGGAACTCACAAACTTTAAATTTTGAATCAGCTTCTGGATTATGTATATATGCTTTACAATATAAACACACACATATGCATGTGGTTGTGTGTGCGCATATTTAAATTTACTTACAGCTTTGCAGCTGAATTTGCTTTAACTTGCTGTGTGTGATATTTGCAGAGATAATAGATTTTTGTGAGTTTTTATCACCTACACTGGAGGAGCAAGCATCTCGTAATGAAGCAGTAGAATGTGTTTTTAATGTTATTAAATATATCTGGCCCAACTGCAAGGTCTTTGCTCACTTGCCATTCCCATTCCACCCTTGTATAGCACATTATGTTTGTGATGTACAAAGCTAATTGCTTCACTGTGTTAAAGTTCCTTTTATTTCTTTTTCCAGCCAGAGGTCTTTGGATCATTCAAGACAGGGCTTTATCTTCCCACTAGTGATGTTGATGTAAGCTTACTCTTTTTTTTCTAGTAAATTTTGGATTTTCTTTCTCAGTTACAAGATATTTTCCTTTTAGTTACTCATTAATGTGCTGCAACTTCTGCTCAAAAGTTGAGCTAAATTGAAATCCTTGCTTGAATAATTATAATAACAACTGTCATTCAATATCGTATTTATCAACAAACAAGTACAACTAGCCTTCCAAACACTGAATGTAGCAGTGTTTGGGAAGTGAGAAGCGGATAAAAGCGACGAGGGCTCGCTTCACAGAAGCGAAAGTGAAGCGCGCTTTTTTTTAAGCAAAGTGATATTTAATTTAAAAATATAAAAATATTAAATAACTGAATAGAGGTAATATATTATTAGATTAAAAGTAAATAGATAGTCAATAATCCTCATAAGTCATAACATATAAAGCAAATACATAATTAAATCACTAAAGAATCAGTCGCAGCAGCCTCGCAGAGAAGAAGAGAACCTACCTGGCAACAACCAAAAATAGAAAAAAAACTCGCAGAGCAGTCGCTAAGAAGAAGAGAACTTACAGCAGCCGTCACAGCCTCGCAGCAGTCCAACAAATAATTGAAGTCGCGAAAGAGGTACGTGAAGTCGCGTAAGGATTTCAAAAATTAAAAAACAATTACAATTTTTTTAAAAAGAACCCTAATAGCGCTTTTTAAAATTAAGCGCGCTTTTTCACACTTTCGCTTTTTTTTGCGCTTCTCGCTTCTACGGTAAAAGCGAGCGCTTTTTCAATGTCGCGTCGCTTCAGGAAATAAAAGCGCAGGGCTGTTCTTCGCGCTTGAAGAGCGCTTTTCCTCGCTTTTTATAACACTGGAATGTAGTTTGGTACTTAGGTTTACAGATCCTCCGTAACATGCTATAAAAAGCATCATGCTAACCTGGACATCCTGTACATGATCACTTATTCTATGATGTTGGACCTATAAATGTTGTCATACCCAACAAAAGAGCATATGTTTTTTTTAAAAAGAAAAAAACAATTTTTTATTGACAAAATACTTCTGGACAAAACAATTTTTTAAGATGTAGACTTTCTTTGTCTGCAATGCTAGATCTTTTCATAGACATACATTATTTGTTGGTTGATTGTGGTGTAGAAGCAAAAATGATTCAAGTTATAATAGAAGTAATTAGCTACTCTTTGAAATGCAGCTGGTGATTTTAGGGTCAGAAATTAGAAGTCCTCAAATTGGGTTGCAAGCTCTTTCCAGAGCTCTCTCACAGAAAGGAGTTGCGAAGAAGATACAGGTGCATCACGTGGCCCTGTGATCTCTCTATGAGGAACATTTTCTTTTGTTTTCTCCCCCCAATCTCTGTGATAGATTTCTGCAAAGAGAACTTTATAATCTGGAATTTTCATGTACTTCCCTGAATCAGGTGATTTCAAAGGCTCGTGTGCCAATAATAAAATTTGTGGAGAAGAAAAGTGGCATTTCATTTGACATAAGGTTCGATTCTTCTTAACGGCCAATATAAGGTTTTATTATGCACTAGTTTTACGGGATTCTGGCAATATTATGATTTTGTAGAAGATAGTTCCATATTACTGATGTCTATATTTGCCTAGTCTCTATCCCGTAATCATAGCTAAAAAGGCTATGTGTTGCATTTGCTAGAACTCATTCCATTTTGTCTCTTGCTGTGAATTGTCTTGCCCCTACTTGTTGATCAGTGGATAGTGTGCATAAGGGGAGTTGATGTTTTGCTTTCAGCTTCTCCATACTTGGTTTCTGGTTTTATTACATTATCCAATTTAAATATTCCACTGATTTTATGATGTACTTCATTTTTTGTGTTTTGGCCTAATCCTTTTCTTGTGTTCCCTTTTTTCCTGTTTGAGTTTCTCACCTGGTCCATTTCATTTTTAATTGTCCATATTAGTTTAGACTTTAGTCCTTATATTAACAAGCCAACAAATTTAAATGGGGGAATTGACCAATTTCTCTCCTTCTGCACTTCTTAGAAGTTAGAGAAAAAACCTATGACGACTCATTCCTCACCCTTGGTAACTTGAATCGTTTTGATATACCTCATTGTTTTATATCAGCTTCCTCTGAAGTTCAGCCAAGTACTTACTATGCAAACAAGACTGCCATCCCTCTGAACTGAATGACTAAGTCTGATATTGACTGAAGAGCAATTGTGTTCTGTATCTTGTTAACTTTATGCTTCTAATTTTCTGTTCTGTGGCCACAGCTTTGATGTGGAAAATGGACCCAAAGCTGCTGATTTTATTAAGGTTTGTGCCGACATATCCACTCGCTGAACAGTGAAAATCCAGTGATGTAGAAATTAACTGTCTGATGTTATTGTTTATGCGAACTTCTATAGGATGCTATGTCTAGCTGGCCCCCTCTGCGACCATTATGCTTGATTTTGAAAGTGTTCTTGCAACAGAGAGAGCTAAATGAGGTAAATCATTCCTAATGTCTTCTAATATCTCCAAGTTGCTGTCTGCAGACTTGTGTAGAAAACAGAATAATCCTAGTTGCTAAGTCTCAGCAAAGACATGCGTCTAAACATGTTTAGGTTGCTTGCTGATAAGGTTTCAATCTTTTCTGCTTTGACTTATCGTCTTCTTATATTGCAGGTTTATACTGGTGGGATTGGATCCTATGCTCTGCTTGTAATGCTCATAGCAATGTTGCAGGTGAGTTAACTCAATCATATGTTCTAATAGTGTGAATGGTAAATTATAACTGGTCATGTATTTGTGTGAATAATAAGACTTAATGCCTCACAATTAGTTAGTCGAGTGAAATAATGGTGTAAGTTGTAACTAAGTGAAATATTAGTTTCGTGACAGAACTAATTATTCTCACTTAGAAAGGATCCTCTTGTTTCTGTTATGCTTTATGTTTCACTGGTGTTGGCCTTGCACTTGCCAAATACACATGGCAGGATATTACTGCTGCTCTTTTTTCACATAAAAGAAAGGTGGAAGTTCTCTCTGGGATTGAAGGAGTATGGAGTAAAACAAGTTTTTGAGATGAGACAACTCAATCATGTTATCTTTAATTTGATCAAATAGCATTGGCCTCTTGTTGATCAAGGTTTGAAAAACTTAAGTATATCTAATAGAGAACATAAGCTGAGATGGGGAATGAATGGAGATTTGAGGTACTATGGATGTCTGTTCTAATTGCTATTTCCTTTGTCTTTGATACTTCATCCATCTGGAAAAGATTGTCTGGGCTTCTGTTATTGGTTTGACCAAATTTCTACTGTTCATCTCTTTTGTATTAAGTACTATAAAAAGGAGGGAAGGTCGAGTCTGTTGAGCAACACTCTTTGATACTTCAAAATCAACTTAACCCCTGTGGTGTTATTGTTATGATGTGCTAATTGTCATGTAAACTAGTTGCTACCAATGCACCTTTTGTGTTTTACCTTGTTTTGATTATTTGGTCTATGCTATGTCATTTGTTTTGCAGAACCATCGAAATGGCCAAGCTTCTGTGGAGGAGAATCTGGGAATTCTTTTGGTATGTCTCTTTCCAACTTGTATCTCTTGAAAGTTTTCAAAGAAATCAATGCTCTACCTAAAATGACCGAACAATGTTCTTGCTTTGAAGAGAATGGTCAAGCTGCCGGTGGGTGAACGGGGTAAAAGAATCAAACCTTAGTTTCTTAGAGGGGCAAAAGAGAAAAATCCTTATAGGTCTTTCTTAGAGAAGATGAAAGTCTGAGGCAAAGTTTTCTAGTGACTAATTTAATAGAAAGCCATAGCACCTGTATGAGAAGTACACTTATTCTGAACTTCCAAACCATGTTGAAATATGTTAGCTTTATATGTTCCTTGCTGATACATAAACCTCCTCTTTCAAAGTTCCAGTGTGATAATTCACGACTGTCGCGTTTGAAAACTACTGCCATATTGACCATGCTTCTCTCTCTCTCACTCACGCACAAGAAAAAAACCTTATTCTGTTTTTATGCTTTATTAGAAGTGTTTCTAAAAAAAATTAATCTGTTTATGCTATATTAGAAGTGTCTTTTTGCTTGCTATTAATTTCTTTTGATCTCTTCCAATTGTTGCTTCAATTATTGCCGTTGGGGAGAAGATTATTTTGACCCTACTACCAAGTACCAAATAATTCAGGCAAGTGCAAGGGACAAAATTTTTACTTTGACTCATCTTTAATTCTTAATTTTTCTGGGAGAACAAAGAAATAAGTTCTTAAGAGGTTGTTCAAGCAGATTCCTTGAGGCCTTCGAGAAAAGATCAAAGACAAAAAATGCAGAAGTTCGGAAACTATAAGTCATCGATCAAACCAAAGCCATAACACTTATATTTATAGGAGAAAGACTGTACAGCTCTAATTGTCACCAGTCTATGATATTCAGTTCTTGCACTTAAAAGGTTTCTAAAGGAAGTTTCCTCCTTTTAGAAGCAATCAAGAGAAAGGGGAAGTTGTAGCTTTTGCGGAGTGCACAGCAGGTTGTGCATTTCGTTTTGCCTGTGGCCTGTGCTCACTTATCCCCCTTTTTTGTCTTCGATTTAAGATATCACTCAAAAGCTTAGTTGACTACCTTTTTCTGTTCCTCCTGGCCTGCTATCTCTTTTTGCTTTCATTCCTTCTTCTTTCCCTTCTTTTATGTAATTTCATCTCATTGGGACTTTCTGTGGCAAAATTATCCTACAGGTTTATATTATTCAGGGCAAGTTACTCATATTTCCTCATATGTTGTGATATAGGTTAATTTCTTTGATATTTATGGACGCAAACTAAATACATCAGATGTTGGTGTATCTTGTAATGGAGAAGCTACCTTCTTCCTGAAGAGTTGCAAAGGGTATGCAATTTCAATATATTTGAAGTTATACAAGTGTTTTACTTTTAGAAGTTTATATCTGTTAGGTAATCTAGTTTGTTTCCTTCTTTTTGTTTTCAGGTTCTCAATTAAAGGAAAGCAATCTCTCATCTCCATTGAGGATCCACAGGTTACCCCTCTTATATCTTTGCTGTTCACATTTCCCTGGGGTCTTTTTAAATATCACAGTGAACGTGTTCGTCCATTCTATCTTTTCCTATTTATATTTGTATTAGTTATATATATTCCATTTGGTTTTATGCTTTTTAAGCTTGACTATGTTGTCATTTATTTTGGTTGGTTTTATTTTCTAGTGGACCAATGAATAGAAGGATTATGTCCCTTACTTTTTGTGTAGTTATTTGTTGTGTTAACCTTGTATTTGGAATTTAGTAATCGAGTACCTTGTTCTTTTGAAGGTTGTTAACATTATTAACAAATTACTAAACTAGGTTCCTTTCTTGTGATTGCAGACACCAGAAAATGACATAGGCAAGAGCTCCTTCAATTATTTTCAGGTGAATTCTACATGATTTCAGATACTGCTCATCCTTCTATGAAAATCTTACTAGAGTCATTTCACCACATCAATAAGATTTGATTCTTTTTTTGGCGATATAAGAAGCTCGTTCTCTAGCAATATTTATGAGTTTCAATGATTGTGAATTTTGCATGTTTCCCTTGTCATGCACATTCGGTATTTAAGAGGCAGCATGTGTTATCATGTAAGTTTGCTGTATGTGCCTGTATCCCCTTGGGCTTTGATCTAGTTGTAGGAGCAGCTCGTGATGTGTGGGTTAGATGCATGTCACAGGTTCGAAGTTTGAATGTTGCTGCTGACAAAAGCCTGATATTTAACTAGTTTCTAACTGTGCACAACATGTCCCCTGGGGATTTCTCAACATGAAGATACCCAGTGAAATCCCATAGTGGAGTCTGGGGAGGGTGGTGTATACACAGCCTTACCCCTACCTTATGAGGGTAGAGAGTTGGTTTCAATGGACCCTCGGCTCAAGTAAAGGATAACAAAACAAGTAGGAAAAGAGAGTGATCCTTTCTGATATTTGCTCAGCTCTTGTTCATGAAAATTGGAGATCATAGAGTAGTTTTATTACCTACTCGCCCTAATCAGAAATACTATAGCTCTCCATTATTTTGGTTGTAACTTGTGTACATGCAATTGGTCCTTTTGCTTCTTGCTCCCTCCGGAACTACATTCTGAGATTCTTGTTTGTGTCGGTGCAGGTCAGATCTGCTTTTTCAATGGCTTTCACGACATTGACAAATGCAAAAGCCATATTTGCCCTTGGTCCCAACAGGAGTATACTTGGCACAATAATTAGACCCGATGAAGTACTAGTGGAAAGGAAAGGAGGATCTAATGGGGAAGTGACTTTTACTAACTTGCTCCCAGGCGCTGGGGAGGGACTGCAACAGTATGGTGACCAGCAAGAGATCTACTGTAACTGGCAATTAAATGATAACGAAGAAGCACTCCCCCGAGGAAATGGTATTGCAGAGAATGGTGGTGCTGAATCCTCAGGAAAGAAGAGGAAATCTTCCAAGGATAAACAGCCTGCTAAGAAGGTGAAGGAAAACGGGCATAGCAGTCATATCAGAGATGAAGAGAATTCCTCGAGGAAAGAGAAGAGTTCGAAAAAGCATTGGAAACATAATAGATGGTGATAAAGAACAACATCAATACATATAGTGGTAAGCATTCACCCTACTTGGATGCCTCTACCTGATATTTAACCTATTATACCGACTTATCTATACACTGCAACTCCATTGAGTTTCCGAGATACCTGTTTCTCTAGTGGACTGAATTGACAGTATTTATATGGTGTAGTTCTTTAGCTAGTGGTAGCTACAATATCGACGTGTGAGCTTCCGTATCAAGGTGAAATTGTATTTCACCTTCAGTGTTGTAAAATGCCAATTTTAACAAGAGTGCAACTGCTGCTGTAATTCGAAAAGGGAAAAACTGTTGTAAGACTATTCTTTTAAAAAATACCATTTGATCCTTCTGCTTGGCCAGTCAATGCCTATTTTGGAGGCACAATTTGACGAAATGCAGATGCTTTTAGGCTTTTTGTTGTTCTTTTTGTTAGTTTCCGCTCGATGTTTAGTATTCACAGTGGGTTCTAAATCCAGATTTGCCTCGAAAAATTTCACATCGGGATGAATTGTGTTTCTTAACAAAGGCGTTTTGTAGTCTGGGTGAATTTGAGATCTCTTACTAAAGATAAATTAGTACTTATTGCTTTATCACATCTACAAAGTTATAAATCATGAACACTTAACTATGTATTCGCTTGAATTATGATGATTACAAATATATTATTTCATATGTTTCAAATTTAGATGATATTATTCGAATAATATAATAAATCTTAGGAAAAAATGCTTTTATTCTTAAATTTTGCGATTTAAAATATGCTATAACATTTGAGCAAAGATAAAATTTTTGAAAATTGTTGCTTCAAATCGGAGGAGAGATCATTCGCTATTTTCAAATATGTAGATTCTAATTTTAAAAATCGAAGATTTCATATGAAACACGTAAATTAAATATTTTATAATTAAAAATACATTATTATTTTTTTAAAAGTATGCGACATGAACAATCTGTGTAAGCACACAAGGAACAAATTTGTAAAATTGTAGTAGTATAAATAGAAGACGCATGTTAACACCGACAAAACAACAGAAATGCCGATCTGTAGCTCTTCTTCATCATCTTCTTCCTCTAGCTCCGCAAAATCATGGATCCTTCACGGCTTAGCCGTCGGAGCAGCAGCAGCAGCCGTAGCTCTCGGCGCTCACGCTTACCTTAGCCGATCCGGCAAGTTTCGGAGCCGGGTCATAGGTATCATACCCGCTCGTTTTGCTTCTACTCGGTTTCAAGGGAAACCGCTCGTTCAGATTCTCGGCAAGCCTATGATCCAGGTATGAATTATATACAGTTGAGAAGAATTTTGAAATGTTTACATCGCTGAATAATCTAAGCTCTTCGCACTCCACTTACGGGATTTTAATATGTTGTTGCTGTTGTTGAGTGTGAAATGTAGTTGTAGTATTTTTTTCATTCAGGGAGTGTTGAATTTAGTGATTCTTAAAATTCTAGATAATTAGTTCCACCTTGGGTAGAAGCAGAGTGTTTATAGGTTCTGAAATTGTGTTTTACTTTACATACTTGAGTTTCGATATGCTTTAATTGAGTGGAGAGTCTATCATATAGTCTTTCTGCTGTATACTCACCACCCTCCCCAAATCCACCTCACTTTGTGGGATTCTACCGACGGGGTATGTTGTTGTTGCTATTGGGTTATGAAATTGTCTCTTTAATTCTACAGCTACACGACCTTCATTTCGAATGAACTATAGTTGAGAAGAAGTTTGAAATGTTTATATGTGTATTCTCTCTCTTGATGAGTGGAAGTAGAAGTATGTTGAACTTAGTGACTCGAAACTCTAGATGATTAGATCCATCTTTGGGTCAAGGCGGAGTTGGGATTTGAACTTTATGGTTTCTGAACTTGCAACTGAACTCATAACTTGTTTGCTATTGGGTTCGTAATGAATATTTATACATTTTTAGTAGATTTCCTTATATAAATACTGTGTCTAGGCAAAAGCAGGTTCCTCCAAACATATGTTTTAATACTCTACTTATGCCCCTAACTTTGGGTAACCTGTCGTTTTCCCAACGGATTCATGTCGGGCATCATAACCTCTTTGACAGCGTAAATATAATGGTAAATAAAATGCGTCTTCCTTTTTTTTTCTTTTCTGTAATTGTATGGTGTATGGTAGTTTCCATTCGACTGACTGGAAGTCTAAATGCAAGCTCAGCAAGCAGAATTGTTCAAAAAAGGTGATTATAGTCTTTGGTTTGGTTGCTGATAGAGCAATGCATAGTCCTAGTTCGTGGACTTCAATAGAGTGGTGGAATGAATAGTAAATTGAGGCTTGTAAAAACAATGTGAACTTGTTCCATTAAGACTGAGTTTTGAACTGTGCTCAAGTGAGTCTCAACTGACCATTGAGGATTTCTGGGTTATGAAACGAAAAGGAACATTGACAAATTTGTTATGATTTTATGGTTTTAGCTCCAATAGTGGTCAAGTTGACAAATCGTTTCATAAGAGGTTCTAATAATATTAGTTCTCATACATGCCCTGGTCTTTTGTAGAGATCCAAGAATCTTAGTAGTTTTCGTGAATATTAACGATCTACGGTGGTATAGCTCTAGAAATGGGCTTTTCCCTTCATTATATGGGGAGCGGGATGTTCAGTCATAGTCAACAGGGTACCATTACTTAAGTATCGCGGCACTGGCCTAATATAAGTTTGCCACGTAATCCACTATCAATGTACCAAAGGATAGAATTAATCAGTAATTTCTCAAGTAACAAAAGAATAATGAGCAAACTAATAATGCCAAATGAAGTTTCAGTTACAAAGTCAATGTTACAACAGAGACATCTCTTTTCACTTGAATACCCAGGAATGATGTTGGTCCTGAGTGGTAATATTTTTGCTTTGAAAACATAATATAAGGGATCTATTATCGCCAGATATAAAATTTATAGATCCATTTATTTCTCATGTGTGGTGCTTTCCCTTCTGGCAATATCAGGATTCCAAAAATTCCGGACCAACTTCAAATTGTTCTGAGGGTTCTAACGTTTGGAAATTTGTATGCCATATTCCTGCTTTTTGTCTCTTTCACCATTTACCACTGGTGAAGCTTTGATCAAGAAACAGTGCAAAGTCATAATTTTATTTGCTAAAAGAATCTGACGCCCTCACCATATTCAATCTTAATGGCAGAGAACATGGGAAAGGGCAAAGCTTGCTGAGACATTGGATCAAGTTGGTATGTATCTATTTGACTTGGCTCAACCTTCTCTATAGGCGTACATTATGCTCCCACGTCGACTATCCCCCCCCCCAAAAAAATGAAGATATATATATATATATATATAAGGAAAAAAGGCGTGGCTGGTGCTTATTTGGTTGCCTTTTTGACAGTTGTGGCAACAGATGATGAAAAGATAGCTGAGTGCTGTCGTGGTTTTGGCGCTGAAGTGATAATGACTTCTGAATCATGTAGAAACGGTAAACAAAGTGCCTTTTATTTTCTCAATCCATTTTTTTTACAACTTCTGGAAATTTGAGTTTGTGAATAGCTGATGCTTAGCTGTTAATTTGTAGGAACCGAGCGTTGTAATGAAGCTCTTCAAAAGCTTGATAAGAAGTATGACATTGTTGTTAATATACAAGGAGATGAACCTCTTATTGAACCTGAAATAATAGATGGCATCGTCAAAGCCCTACAGGTAGCTTTCCTTTCTGTCTTTTTCTTAAATGTAAAAAGAATTGTTGTTATACGTTGGAGTTAGTTTCATTGGAGATTGCATGTAGTCACTTGTTGATTGAGCTTTAAATGACTAATAACATACTTATGATTCTTGCAGTCTGCACCAGATGCGGTCTTTAGCACTGCTGTGACATCTTTGAAACCTGAGGATGCATTTGATCCAAATCGTGTTAAATGTGTGGTAGACAATCGTGGTTATGCAATATATTTTTCACGAGGGCTCATCCCTTATAACAAGTTGGTCCATTTTCTCTTAAATAGCCTATTGCAGTAGCTGCTTATATCCTCCATTATAGAAACTGATCAACTTTTGCAAACATTCAGGTTAGGCAAGGTTAATCCTCAGTTTCCTTACTTGCTGCACCTCGGGATCCAGGTATCAACTAGTACAATTTTGGTGCAACTATCAACTAGTTTTTCTCAATAACTTTATATGGCTGAATGATACGGTGTCTTCTTATTTCATTCTAGAGTTATGATACGAAGTTCCTGAAAATATATCCAGAGCTGACACCAACACCGTTGCAACTAGAAGAAGATCTTGAGCAGCTAAAAGTCCTTGAAAATGGATACAAAATGAAGGTAACATACCCTCAATTTGTAGATTTCTATGCTGAATATCGGTGTTTTAATGACTAGATTAAGAACCGTATGGTCTGGGTTCAAATTTCAACGGGGGTCAGGCAAAAACATTAGGTGATTTCTTTCCATCTATCCAAGCTTTGGTGAATGGAATTTCCTGCTACCTGTGTTGGTGGGAGGTAGGAGGTACACCTGGATATAGTTTAGGTGCGCAAGCTGTGGCCCAGGCACCATGATTATTTGAAAAATGACTGGGGAAATATATTCCTAGATGAACTATAGTTAACCAAACGGAAAAGAAGAAGAAATATTGTTGGATGATTGACAAGAATTTCAAAGATGGTGCAAACATTACATCCTTATCAGTTGATTCGTTCTATTTGAGCTAGTTGGTTTGCTTTCCCCTCTCGTGATTGTTCTTTGGCCCGAACAACACGGTTGTAAAAGAAATTTATTGAGGGAATATATTTCTTGTGATTGTTATATAACTGCACGTATCTCTTTTCTTTCTACAGGTGATAAAAGTTGACCACGAAGCTCACGGTGTTGACATCCCGGAAGATGTCGAGAAGATAGAGCAGTTCATGCGTGAGAGGAACATGGCTTAGAGCAAAGTGAGTTATTTTGATGATTCACATATAACTCCTACAGCTATAAAGGTGGTGTTCTTTGGTTTCAATTTGCGCTTTGGTTAGCACGTCAATTATCACTGAGAGTTAACTTTTGTGAAGAAAAAGAAAATTGGAACTGAACTCGCCGTGTAAATCCTGCAAATAGTTCATAATATAGAGTTGTTTGAAGTGTGTGTTTCACTTACGTATTCATTTGTTGTAGGATGGTTGTGTATCACATTTTCTTTCATATTTTACGATTAATTGATTTGTATTTATTAAAACTATGATTTAGTGATAACCATATCTGCGTAGACACGTGGCATATATTTATTGAGTTCGGTATAAATAGTTAGTGTGGGCAAGTATTTAGAGGTTTTTTTGGTAGCTGTTTAGAGTCAGTCACACACTTCTTTCAAAAAGGGTGAATTATCTCCCACCACTATTAATGCCTGTTTTTTCGATGTGAATAAAAAACATGTTTTACGTGCATGCTAGTTATATAATATTATGAATCTCGTTGATATTTGAATCGTTAAGACTACATGTAGTTCAAGATACATGATGATTGATGAGTCAGTATTATTTATGTGAATGTAATATGATGAATCATATTAAATTTTGATGTACCTAAATTACGTAGGCATTTTATCTTGATCACGTATGTATATATCTCGCTCATCTTTGTTTATCTCAAATATGTTTCTATAATAATATTTGCGTAATTAGATAGTTCCGTGAGGAAATATTGTGCCCACGAAAATATAATTTTGTTGGGAGGATATAATAAGTGACGTGGGAAACACGTGATAGCATGAGCCTCATCCATTTCATCTAAAACGAACGCATATTCGCATGACGAAATCTCACAGAATACTTGAGCCACAGACCTCCTCACTCTCTCTTCCCATTTCTCTGTAAAAAAAAAAAAACTAAAAAATCATTTTTCTTTCTCTCTCTACTGTTTCAATGGCCGGTATGTTAGAAACCATTGCAATTCCACGCGCCTCCGTTTTCTCCTCGTCGTCGGCGCGTTCGGTTCCTATTGCCGATTTGTCGGTCTCCGGTGGCCGTCGATCCTCGGCAGTTAATTTTTCTCAGTTCAGTGGTCTAAAGGTGCAGCTGAATCGGTCGCCGGTTTCTCTCAGCTCACGATCGGAATCCGTTCGCCGCGGTGGACGAATCGTCTGTGAAGCTCAGGAAAGTACTACCGTTACAGGTATGTTTTCTCTTTTCCTTTCCTTCATATTCTTCACTATTCTCTCCCATTTTGTTTTGTTTCGTAACGTAATTTGAAGATTTTTTAAATTTACTGTTTAAAATAAATTATGAAGGTTTGTTTATGAGTTATAGCAAGTAATAAATTCAGGAGACTTTTCAATTTTACGATATTAAATAGTACTCCTTAATTTAATTTATGTTACACTATTAGTCTATTAATAGTTATTTTCAGATACGGTTATTAGTTAACTTATCTTCTAAATTTGTCGATTTGACAAGTAAATTATTACGTAAATAAATCAATATCTATACCTAAGTCAATTTCACACAATTTTTAAGTAAGAAACCAATACTCTTATAATTTGTGGTTTCAGATTCTCCTTAATTATTTCATTAAAAATAAAAATTAAATTATTTTATTTATAAAAAAAAACAAACATTTTTTTGTGGAACAACTAAAAGAGAAGGGTGCTTGGGACAAAGGGATTATTTCATAATATTGAGTGGGTATAATATATTAGATATTTGGAGTCTTAACGTTTGTATGGTTATAAAGCTATTCATAGAGAAGATATTAAAATGTGTTTTTTTTAAAAAAGTGAATATTCGACAAAGTGGAAAGAATATATTCCTTTTTGTTTTCATTTACGTATTTTAATTAGTTAAAAAAGAACAATATTTTTTTATATTTTTAGTATTTTGTGTTTTAATTCACGTGACATATTTTTTTTAACTATTCCTAAAAAGAATGTTGCATTTCTATAATTGAAAAAGTAATTTAACTTTAACAAAATCTCCTTTTTTACTCAATGAAATAATTTATAATTACACAAATGGTCAAGAACTTTTTTAAACGACAAATTTCAAATCTCTCTTTCTTTTTCAACTTTGTGTCAAATGGAAACTCATAAATTGAAATGAAGAGAGTATTGCCATGTGCGTGTGGAATAATCCTCCAAAAATAGTACATTTGTGATTCGATACAAGTGCGACAATATTTTTGATGAGTCTGAGCAATATAGATGTAAGTTGTGCCTTCTCTTTGACCTTGTGTTACTACTTCAGATATCGGGAATGAGAACTTTTTAGGCTTCATTCTTCGGTGAATTGGGAAGCATTATTTTGTGATCTTATGATAGTATAGAGATGCACTAGAAGGGGAGGAGCAACAATAAAGTTGTCTTTGCCATGATTTATAAAATCTATAGGTCATGAGTCTGAGTCATGAATTATTCAGCCATTGGCTCTTTTGTCAGGGTAGGCTGCTTACATTACTCCCTTCTTAGGGTGTGATCCTTCCCTAGACCCTACGTGAATGTAGGATGCTCTATGCACCATGCCGACTTTTATAAGGATTTCACTAGCATCTAAAGTTAATAATTAATTGGAAAAATGAGATTAGATGTTGTAAAATTTGTTCCTTTGGCTTCTGACTAACTAACAACTAACAACATACCCAATGTAATCTCATAAGTGGCGTCTGGTGAGAGTGGGGTGTACGCAAACCTTACCCCTACCTTTGGCTTTTGACTGAAGAGGATATTAAGATATTTGATGCATCATCTATCTCGGGTAGTAAAAATTTCGTATTGTTTATCATTTTTAAGTTGCTTTGATGTTAGCGTGAATTGGAGCATGATTTGCTCCTAAAGGCATTGCTTCTGCAGAAACTTGCCCCAGTTATCAGCTTCTTTCTTTGTGTAATTGACATGATTTATGGAAAATGCAGCTGCTGCTGTTACTGATAAAACATGGAAGTCACTTGTAATCGAGTCTAAGTTACCCGTCCTGGTTGAATTTTGGGCTCCGTGGTGTGGTCCGTGCAAAATGATCCATCCCATCATTAACGAACTAGCACAGGAATACGCTGGCAAGTTCAGTTTCTTCCAGCTGAATACAGATGAAAGCCCCTCCATTGCAAGTGAATATGGTATCCGAAGTATCCCAACTGTCATGATTTTCAAGAATGGAGAGAAGAAAGACGCGGTGATTGGTGCAGTTCCAAAAACAACACTAGCCACGAGCATCGATAAGTTCTTGTAGTACAATGGTGCGCGCATATAGATACGTTTCGTAAGAACTTTTTGCTGTTTTTCTTTTCCTTTATGTATATTCTATATTTGCCTTCAAAAGCACAGCTAGAATACTAGTAAATAAACCTGAAAATGTTCCTGTATAGATTATGGAGCTATGTTTCCTCTTACTTCAGAATTCTTCACTGGTAATTTTTGCTTTACAAATTTCAGTCATTATAACTGAAGTAATATTCTACTATGTTGCTCGGACTCTTTAAAATATTACATGCGCATGTCGAATCCTTTTAAAAATTGTGTAATTTTTGAGGATTCAACATGGACTACACAAATAGCCAAGAGTTATTGCTATGAAGCGAACTCTACATTGTCATTGTATAAGATAGTATTTTCATGTTAACAACATACTACGTGTAATTCCACAAAATAGGATATGAAAGAGATTACAGTGTATATTGATCTTATCAATACCTTAGGTCTGAGTTAAGGCATCCAAGAGAAGACAAATATAGCGTTAAGGAGATAACAGTTCGGACAAGGGCTAAGAGATAATTCCACAAAATAGGATATGAAAGAGATTAGAGTGTATAATGATCTTATCAATACCTTAGAAGCAGAGGCTAGAATAGGATATGAGGAGGTTAGAGTGCAGACTGATCTTATCACTATCTTAAAAGCAGAGGCGAAGTAAGGATTGTTTTGGACCGCATTGCAGGTTGATTCTTAGGTGACGCTTCCAACAAGATTTTCTTCGTATCCACGATGTAATTTCTAATGTGCAAGACATGAGTTTAGAAAAATTTTGCCTTGTTTTTCATAAATTATGTAGTATCTAATTTCAAGTCATAAATAAAGATCAGCTTAGAGAATTTTTACTAAGTTCACGGGATCCAACTACGGGGATGAAATAAATAACTCTTAAATGTCCATCAAATTAGAATTAGGAACAAAATTAAAGATCGTCATTTTTTTAAAAAAAATCGAATTTTGATAGAAATATCTTAAATATATAAAAAAAAATAGATATAAGTGCGCCTCCTCCTTTCCCTCCTTATTTGCGGTTGAGAAAACATTTTACTGTTTATAAGTACACAATTCCCGAAAAAAATTCACGCCCAATTCATTGCTTCTCCATTTTTCTCCCTTCAATTTCTCCTCCGATCACTTCTAACGACGCCGTTTATCTTCGAGACTCGCCGTCGATCATCTTCTCCGGTTATGCTCTTCCGTTCTCCGACGCGCCGGTACAATCTCCGGCTCTTTCATTCTTATTCGCAAAATGTATTATGTTAATTTATTCTGTTTGTTTTAAATTTTTATTTTTCTATGATTTTTTGCTTCGTAATTAAGAACATAGTGTAATGTAAATGAAGTTTTTCACATCGGCGATTTTCGTTAGTTTAGAAATCTGTAATTAGTGCGTAGGATAAATATGGAAATTAGATCCCAGCAGAGATAGAAAACACGTTTTTTTTCCATATGTATAATCCTTGGCCGGCGAGTTACCTGGTGCTTGTGTTGACGGGAGGTAGCAGGTAGTCGGTGGAATAGCTGAGGTGCGAGGTGTCTTGGACACCACAATTGTATTTTAAAATGTGGAAAAGTAGAGAACATATGATTTGGCTTAGAAGCTAAAAATAATAATAATTGGAAAGAAATGGATCCGAATAATTTTTATTAGTCCAACCTAAGTAATTTGAGATTGAGATGTCCGTGATTGATTGAAATGTTTTGGTTCATGATTCGTGTGGTGATTTATCTCGTTAGATGGGTATTTTTCATGTTTGAGATTGTTGAGGTGCGAGAGAGCTGGCTTAAACACCAAAGTTATATTTAAAAATGTGGGAAGAAATGGATCTGAGTATTTTTTGTTAGTCAAACCTTAGTAATTTGGGATCGAGATGTGCTTGATTGATTGATATCTTATGGTTCATGATTCGTGGGATGGTTGATTTCGTTGATGGGTATTTTTCATGCTTGAGATCGTTTATAGGCATTTATTTCAATGACGAAAGATTTTTGTATTGCCAATTGTTTAAAGTATTGTGAAAGATGTTAATGCAAATTATTTAGAATTTTTGTTTTGAGAATTGAGAAAGGTGAATGATTTGGAATTGGAATGAAATGGATTTGAATAGAGCTAAATGGATACAGAGGATTGTTTAGACAACCTTAACTAGCTTGAGATTGAACTATAGGTGATTGATTGAATTTTTTTTTTTGCTTTGTGATTGAAAGTTGTTTTCATGAGCCGAAGGTCTATCAGAAACAGCCCTTTAGGGGTGTGCGGTCTGTGTACACTCCCCCCACCAAAATACCCACCCTCCAATGAATGATACAATGAGTTCAAATTAAACATGTGACAATAATTTGCAGAATTCTGAAACTTTGAAGTTTGGTTCTAGATATCCATTTTAAACAAAACAACACAAATGTGGTTTTCGACCACGTCTTTCCCATAATGATCAAGGTTTTGCTTGAGTTTGAAATTAGGGGCAAGAAGCAACTGGGGAGGGTAAGATGTATGCGTACCTTACCTCTACCTTTATAGGGTAGAGAGGTTGTTTCCGATAAACTCAATAGAAATGTAATTGCTGCTGGATAGATATCCCTTTTCTAATGGAAAAATGATTGGTACATTTATCCAGATGTTATTATACCCATTTTGTACATATTGCATAGCTATGCTGGTAAAGACATATTATTCCTGTATACAATGCATTTCCTAGGGATAGATACATAGCCTATGTTTAAGACCATAACCATAGCTCCTGTTGTCATTTATTCTCAAAGTTCAGATGTGTGAAAATCTGCTCTTTACTTTGATGCGGGTTTCTTAGATAAGAACTAAGTCAGGTGATGATTCTTTTTGTCTTTTTAATAGATTCCATGGCTCTAGAACAGTCTTTTGGTGAACCTATTATCGGTTTTGGATCTGATGAAGACATTTCCCTAAAGAAAAGGAACTCAGTTCCAGTTCCAATGGCAAACGCTGGAAATCTGATGGAATGTTTTGATTGCAACATTTGTCTTGATTCTGCACATGATCCTGTTGTCACTCTCTGCGGTCACTTATACTGCTGGCCTTGCATTTACAAGTGGATTCAAGTGGAGAACTCTGCCCCAGGATCAGAAGAGACACCTACATGTCCGGTCTGCAAATCTCACATCTCAAACTCCTCATTGGTACCTCTCTATGGCCGCGGTACATCATCAGAAGAATGCAGATCCAATGAGGCTCAAGTTGATGTGGTCGTACCTCACAGGCCTCAAGCCATTTGGACAACAGCCACTCAAGTTAACACATCATCACCTCCGTCTTCTCATGTTCATCAACAACTTAGTCACACTTCTTTGTATTATCCACCATCCTCAATTCATCACCAACAATTCTTCCCCCACGCTTTTGGTGGCTATGCAGCTATAGCTCCATCAACCTTCAGAGGCTCTGGAATGACTCGGTTATTCAGCCCAATGGTCGTGATGTTTAGTGAAATGTTTCTCGCAAGGATGTTGGGGGGCTCGGATGCAAGCTCATTCTCCTATCCTTATCTTAGCCCTCACCCCATTCCGGGAGTCGGTAGCTCTAGAATGAGAAGGCAAGAAATGCAAATGGACAAATCTCTCAACAGATTATCCATCTTTCTCTTCTGCGCCTTCATCTTGTGCCTTCTCCTATTCTGATCACTATTATTACTATATGCTTCCTCGTCATTAAACAGATGTAAAAAGCTATCTGACTGTGCCCGATACCTATGGACGATCTATTGAAACGCCTAGGTGGCATCAGCAGTCGGGCGTTAACAACAACAACATATCCAGTATAATTTCACGAATGGAATCTGGGAAAGTTTAAGTGGACGTAGACCTTACCTGTACCTCGTGAAGACTGGACATGTAGTCGATAGTCAAAGAAAAGAATAACATGACTTGTAGTGATTTAAGCATAAAAGGCTCTATTTCTTGCAAAGGTTGCTTTAATCTTCCCTTTGTGTGAAGTGCTCCTCTTCTTCTTTTTTTCTTTTTTTTTGGTTTTTCACTTGATGTCTGGTATTTTTATTTTTTTTTTCACTCGATGTCTGATATCTGTATTGACATTCTCATGAATTAATTAGCTAATATATATCTGAGATCTAGCTTGAGCAATATCAGTCAATAAAATATTAATAGGGAAAAGGGTCTGATATATCCCTCAATTTTGTCATTTAGAGCTGATATACCCCTTGTTATGAAAGTGACTTATATATACCCCTACTTGTAAACAAATGGCTCACATATACCCTTTTCCTCTAACGGAAATGAAAAAAAATATTTTAATCTAAATTTTTATTACTTTTTTCTAAAAAATATAATCTCATATGAGTAAATTTAATCCTCGTCAAACATATTTTGTTGACTTTTTTTTGTTTCAATGACTAATTTATAATTATTATTTTGATAATCAAATTTATTTATGTTTCACTAATATTCTTGTAAAATTTATTGTAGATGACCAAATTTTTTCTTCGAATACGGAATTAAATTACAATAAACACAAAAAAATAGTTAAATTTTTTTCTTTAAACTAAGGAATGAAAGAAAAAAATAAAATAAGAATAAGAAACTCAAATAATTCTAATAAAAGAAGTCAAAAAATAATTTATGTATGAAAAAAATTAAAATATACCTTGAACTTTATAGAAGAATCATATATACCACTAAATAATATTATTATTTTAAAAAATATTTCCTAAATCCGGTGTCTACACAATTTTTTATATTAATATATTACCATAACATATTAGTTGACTTAGTAAAACATTGGTATAAATAAGTATTTTTTTTCGATATCCATTATGTAACGTTAACTTAGAAAAACAACAAACACGAGGAAGAATAATGTGAGACTTTGAAGTTGTCCACCTGAGTGGCTGAATGACATATTTTCTTCTTTTTTTTTTCAATTTTTTCGACATCAAGAATATTGACGCACCATGAAAACGACTCTAATTCAATAAAATTACATAATACTCACCAAAAATCTTCCACACCTAATGTGAAATATTCATTATCACTTAATTGATGCTCTACTTGGGAGTTGTTCCATCACACTTTGGACATCGCCATCAAAGAATATTGATGCGCCATGAAAACGACTCTATTTCAATAAAATTACAAAGTACTCACTAGAGAACTTTTACACGTAATGTAAAAATATGTTATATAATTAGAAAATTTTAATATTTATCACTTTATTGATGCACTGTTTGAAACAACTTGACTCGATCCATCACACTTTGGATATCCCATAATGATGATTCTACTTCAATTAAATTAAATGGTACTTATTAGAGAATGTTCACACTGACTCCTAAGTATTTGTTATAGAAATATTCAAGATTTCTTCATTTAAATTTAAAATGATAACCTATAAGGAATGGTTTTACTCGGTTCATCATGTTGTTGACATCGTCATTTAGAATATTGATACCCCATGAAAACGACTTTACTTCAATAAAAATACATGGTACTCATTAGAGACGGTTCACACACTTCAAGGTATTTGTTAGAGAAACATTTAGAATTTCTCCATTTACCATTTAATTGATGCCCTAGTTGGAACGATTACACACGGTTCATCCTGTTGTGGACATCGTTATGAAAAATATTGATGTTCCATGAAAACGACTCTACTTCGATAAAAATATAAGGTACTCGTTAGAGAGCGTTTACAACACTCCAAGACTAATGTATGTGTTACATAAATGTTTGGGAATAAATTCTGCCACGTATCACTTAACTAATGCCCTATTTGGATCGATTTGACTAGGTCCATTACACTTTGGACATGGCGATCAAGACTATTTATGTCCTATGAATACGACTCTTCTTCAATAAAAATGCATGGTACTCATTAGAGAGCGTTCAAAGCACTCCAAAGTAATTGTATTAGAAATATTTAAAAATAAATTCTTTCATTTATCGCGTAATTAATGCCTTATTATCTGAAACAATTTGATTCGATCCATCACGCTTTGGTAATCCTGATAATTTGAATGTATTTGCAATAGATTTGATTTTACTTAAGATGATGAGACTCTTAACTCAACCATTTATGCATTGAACAAGATCATTTCTCATTTTGTATTGAAACAATGTATAAAAGCATATCGGGTTGAGCTCATCGCACCAGACTTGCCTAGTGCGGTTTACCTCTCTCGTGTGATATGCGAATTATTACATAGGAGCGGGGGTTTACCCTGTACGCACCCAAGAATAGCGACTATTGGTTTCCCTTGTCATTAAAATTTTTTTTGTATGATTCCCACAAGTGGGGTTTTGGAGGATAAGATGTACGCAACCTTACTCCTACATTTATGGGGGTAGAGAGGTGGTTTTTTGATTGACCCTCGACAACCCTCCTCCTTTATCTAGACTTGAGACCAGCAATGTAAACGAGCTCAGCTCACATGTATATTGATTATATTCCTCAAAATTTTCTTTAGGTGATGTTAGTATAACCTTCCATCACCAAAAATGAAGAAATTTCAAAGTAGAATCAACTTACTTTGTATGGCTCTTCTCATACAAGATATGTAATTTTTATTAACTTTCAAGAATTCAAATCCATTTCAACTACTCGAGTTAGAAACTCCGAACATCACATCGAAATTTCAACCACTCCTACAAGGATGTATGTCTGCAATCTTCAACTAGTTTCGACTATAAGTAGTTAACGGAACTTAATAGAACAGAGAGTATCACAGGTGATTTACGCAGTTCTTAGACTGAACGCGTGCCAACAAAAGAAAAAACAGATGTATTTCGAAGATTAAACTGAAACACACTTCACAGAAACAGTTTTGCAGCATCGAAAAGCCATGGACTATGAAAGAAAAACGAAACCAAAGTTCTATCGCTCTTTCACTTGGTGCATTGTCAATATGATAAATAAGAACAAGCAAAGAAATCAAGAATGCATATAGCATACCAAGCAAAAACAAATCTATTCAGAAGCACGTTAAGGCACGAGGAATCGTGTGTCATTAGGCCACTACAGAAGTGATCGGTAAAAGAAAATGTTTCTAAACTAAACGACTAGAACAAGCAGTTCTTTATTAGTTCTCGATGCACAAGAAACAAATCACCATTTACTTACTGTTTCTTTTCTTATTAGGAAGAGATATTGGCCATGGAGGAAGCGTAAACAAGAATGCTGATGACCAACAAGGCGTTTTTCTAAGGCTACCCCGTCCATTTCTTTGAAGTGTACCTCGAATGTCAACTGGATCATCAAGGGCATCCAATTTTAATGTTTTCATGTTGTATGAGGCAATGGTATCACCGAAACCAAGGTAAAAGATGTTGGAATCAAGCGGATGGAAGGCAATCGGAGTAGGAATTGTCCCATTTAACGCTCTGCTAATTAAAATGTCATCGAACGAGATGTCTTTGATCTTTACCTTGTGCTGCAAAGTCCAACTTGAAGAGTCATACTCATCAAGAACCCAAACAGAAATGCCTGAAAATCCAAAGGGATACACGGACACCACAGACGCCTCCATATACCTCAACCGACCCTGATGAACATCAAGCAAAACAGATCTTCCGTTATTCCTGGCATCAATGCATTGCTCATCAATATCACCAGGGAGACCAATTACGCAACATTGATTGATGTCATCAAAAGGATTAAACACTAAAATCCCATGTCGACGATCAATCCAATGTAACTTCCCATTCAAAGCAACAGGCCTCCTGAGCCACACAACTTCAATTGCTACATCCATATACACAACAACTCTCCTCCAACGTCCAGTCTCAGACGAGAACACCTCAAACTTAAGCACATACGACTCACCAAACTGACAATCCAATCTCACTACTTTATAACTCGTCAGAGACCCCCCTTCAGATTTCGTTACAAAACCAGTACTAACATCACCAAAACGTGTACAAGTTCGAGGAATAGCAACACACCACCCCATCATAGCATTGTAAACATGATAATCAATCACTTCCTCACTCATACCACAATCATACAAAACTAGCCCATCACTAACTCCAACAACATTACACCCCTCACCAACTTCACTACTACCTACCATATTAGGGAAATGAACTATACTAAACCTTGAATGTAACCAATTATCAGAGAACAAATCAGGTAAACAGGACTGAGCTAAAAAGCTACCAATCTTCATATTCACACAGAGAGTGTTAGCAAGAATAGTCCAAGGTGTTAACAAAGAAGCATGAGATATATACAGGGAAGCAAAAGAAGTTGCAGAAATCAAGAAACGCCATCGTTTTGACACAGATTTGTACCTAAAAACACATTTTACAGGCAATCTTGATAAAACTTCAATCAAGAACCAATCTGGAAGATACCCATTACTGAAAAACATCTCTGATTTGGTTTTTACAAGTTCCACAGAAATGGGGTTCTCAAAAGATTCTACCTTTTTGCTATTAACACAAAGTTCCATCTTTCTTTAGCTTAAATTTGGAGAAAAAACAACAAAAAAGACAACTTTTTTAGCAAATCTTTTGGTGGGTGTTGCTAGAAAACAGTGAAGAAATTGAGTAAGTGCTTTTACCTTTATATAAATTTGAGATTTGAAGGCAAAAATGGCTTTATTAGAGTCAAGCAGACAATTGAAGACTTGAAGATTTTAACAAAATCAAGAATCCCCAATTTCGTCTCCTCGTGGGTTTGCTTTTGAACCTATTTGAGGGTTAAGACTGACTCAAGTTTCTTGGGTTAGTGTGGATTTTTTTAACGGAGAACGGTTAAAAACGCATCTAAAGTATCATGTGTCTGAATTACGATATGTATAATCAATTATATATGAAAATACGATTCGAGTTAACTGTCATATGAAATTTTACGGGAATATTAAGTTATCGTATATGTAATCTAAAGTATCATCTATTTGAATTATGATGTGTATAATCCAATTATATATGAAATCGTGACTCGAGTTAACTGTCATACGAAATTTTATGAAAATATTAAGTTATCGTGTGTGCCATCTAAAATATCATCTGTCTGAATTATGATGTGTATAACTAATCATATATAAAAACACGGTTTGAGTTGATTGTCATAAGAAATTTTACGGGAAAATTAAGTTATCATATGTGTTTTGCAGTTTTATTTATTG